CCCCCCCCCCCCCCCCCCCCCTCGCCCTTCCTTCCCGTCCCTGTTCGTTATGAATAGAGTGTTCGATGCTCCGTCTTTGTTTAATCAACACCAGGGATTATAAGCGAGCTACATGGTCGGCTTCCAGTTTCTTTGTATTTAAAATAACAAACCAACAGGATTGTAGGCAGGCCATGTGTAAGGTGTTATTTTATGGTGCAAATTGCCTTTATCTTTTAGATGTAGTGGGGTGATATTTCTCAACGCAGTCTGTCTGTTTCATCCCTTAGCTGTAAACACAGACCGGACTATGCATGCCGGTAGGAGTGGGAATCGTCTGTATTTAAAATCTGACATCTTCGGGAATAAGTAATTACTATACGATTCGTTTTTACGGTAAACTGATACTAACGTATGCCAGGGGGTTAAACACGTCATCAGCTTGCTTCTAAGCAACTTTCACAATATGGAGCCATCATCGACAGTCTTGCCAAAAGGTGGTTGCTGTTGGAATTTGCTGCTATTCGGGGCTATTCCCCGCGTGCTTTCGTCACTCATTGAAGGCGAAATACGGAAGGGATTTTGACTTTGACTTTTAGCTGAATGGGATGCTGCACAGGAACTTCAATAAAACACTATGGAATTAAACTACGCATTCATAATTAACAAAATATAGTACACATGAAGTGTGGGTAGGGTCTTCATGGTCCGTACTGTCTTTTGGGTACAATTTTGACACTTTTCGCGCCTGACGTTCTTACAAAGCAAAAAATGCCCATAGAAACTGGCAGTGTAAGATAATCTGCTTAATACTCTAACACGAAAAATAAAGATACAAGCATGAAAACCATGAAAGCCAACAAGTTAAACATCAGGTAAGTGGCTTCTCTCAAGGAAACCGTAAGTCTATCACCTGCGCCGAGGATACGCAATTAAAATCAAAGAGACTCTACCCAAAAAAAAACCTCCCCTGATAACTACAGAGCTATCTCTAGGTGTTTTTCAAACGTTTGGAGGGCTTTAAAAGTCTTATTTTATGGGTTTTGTTCTCGAGTATGCAGATGCAAAAACACGATGAACGAAAAAAGGAATACACCCCTCCCCCCTCTCCCAATGAAGCCAAATTTACGAGATGTACTGGCACATACCAGGCAGTCTCAGATCCCCGAGTTATGAACTTACCCGAAAAAAATTTCGGCGGGCCCGTACGCGGGTACCACGCTTACGCAGAGGATGGGTTTCAGTGCATTAACACCTACTTGGATGGGGAACAACTTGCTATCAGCTTGCTTCTAAGCAGTTCTCAAAAGAGGGATTATTTATGCCCGGTCTTTACGGAGGTTGATTGCTGCTGGTATTTGCTATCACTCGCGCGACTTCCCAGTTCCTCTGAGCCGCGTTGCAAGTGAATAAGGAGGTGGCCTTGATGATAATTTAAGGAAATGCACATGTAAATTAATATGACGCTTTCAGAAGCCTCACAAAACGCGTTCTCATGAAAATGATGTGTAAACGAACCCTAACATCACCCTGCTTCTCCGGAGGATCTTCGCTCTTCAGATAAGGCTCCAATTTATCGGCAATAATATCTTCCACGAACTTTTTCAAATTCTCCACACTAAAAGTATATCCACTGTGATGTACACATGATATCTCGTGCAACAACCAAAACAGCTAACTCTCTACTACGCCAAACAGAATTAAAAAATAAACGAAACGAAACAAGCCAAAGAATACGATGAAATGTTACAAATTATGCGAAAATTTAGTCGAGAAGGGCCCGTACGCGAGGTCTAGACGAGTGTTGGGGAATATCTTGAAACGGGAAGTTGATACACGGGGTAGGAACATATACCCAAAGTTTCAGCGAGAAAAAAAAACGGCTTATGAAGTTGGGATGAGGACTGATGCAAAATATGTACTGGACTGGACAAATGACCTCAAAAAAGAGGAAGAATACCAATTTACTTGAAGAGGACAAGAAATTTGAGATTCCTTTATTTTCTAGTTACCGCATATTCTAAAAATCTTAATACAAAGGTAAGTAGGGCTATTTTCAGATCTGTAAGGTAATTCTTCTTTTCTGTCCGTGGAAAACTGAAATTTCTAAAAACCGTTCACCTATTCATTAGAAAATCCCTACTACCAAAAGTGAGTAAATCAGAAGTTCCATCACTCTGCTTTCAAACAATTCCCAAAACAGGCGGTCTTCACGGGTAACACTACCCGTGGGTAGTTGTCGGCACTTGCTATCACCCCCGGTTACCGCTGTCAAAGGAGTAGGACTGGGAGATTTTGTACATTCCTGCACTATTCAAAGCCATTTCGGCGATTCATAACTTGATCTCAGATTCAAAGTGCTGCAGAACCCCTGATAAATTAAAATCCTTACTCAGGCCACCTCAATTTCAACGAATTTCAGTAAATTCACATACCGAAAGATTATGCGAAATTACAAATTTTACGCATTTAACCATAAATCTCATCTACTCCCACTTTTCAACAGGAAAACAGCGAACTAACAAATGAAGGGCAGGAAAGGAAGATTCCTTAGAATACCGCTACGGGATGTTCCGGACCAAATTTTTTACAAAATCCCTTACATTTGAGAATTCGCAAAAAATTTTTTCACGCCTACCTGAATTCCTCTTTCATGTTGAATTTGCCCTTTTTCGATCGGGCCGCAACCACAGGCTTATCACTGGGGCGATCTTCCAAACCAAAGTCCTGCATGTCCTGAAATGCAGTTCTCGTTACATTTTTGAGTACCACACTACACAGTGATCCAAAAACAACGGCTGCTAACTGCCACCTTTGGCAACGTGAAATTGCGCAACAGCAGATGATTTTTGATGACAAAACCTGCGTTCAGGAGAAATACTGCACATTTTTTATAACTATATGCTAAAGATGAAAGATTTATTAGCGCACAAGGCTACTAAATCTTAAGCTGTTTTTAGGGTAAGGTGTTTTTTGATGACAAAATTTGCGTTTAGGAGAAATATTGCATATTTTTTACAACTCTGTGTACAAAAGATAAAAAATTTAATGAAGCACAAAGTTCGAGCAGGCTTAAGCATCAAAAATCCTGTGCTTTCCCCTAATTCGGCCACTATTTACTCACTACAAACAAAACATTTTAATGCATTTCCCCTCTTTTTTTTAAAAAATTTTTGAATTTTTCAGCTTCTATAAAACTTTCACTGCTAGAATTCGTACAGTCACAGCCAAATTTAAAAAAAAAAAAAAAAAAA